CTATTTCAGACGTAAGGCTTGTCGGACAAGAGCAGGGCACGGTGATCAGATCCTTGGTCATGAAATGCTTAACCAGGGTATCGGGGAACTGGTTGATCCAAGATTGGGAACAGAGAGCCCTATCCAGCCGTTAGCGGATACAGGCCGCCCGCATATGCTTATTAGTCCAGGTAAACTGGTAGGGATGGCAGGCCGGGGCCCAAAAGCGGGTATCCGCCCGAAGCCCGCCCGATAAGGGCCCTGGCTGGTTGTGTTTTCGGGCCCGTCAATGGGTGGCGGGTAACCCGTGACCCGTCAACGGGTGGCGGGTAACCCGTGACCCGTCAACCATTGGTTTTGGGCGGTTGTGGTTCATCCAGTATCCGCCCCGCGACCCGAGCGGCGGGCTACCCGTGTTAAAAACGACGCCGTTTGGGGGGCCATATATATTCTCCGCTTTCCCTTGAGAAACCCTAGCAGCCGCCTCAGATTTCATTCTTCACCAAAAAACAGGATCCCTAGTTTCCTTCTTTCTCTCAATCTCTCTGCCTCCTCTGTAGCGATTAGCGATCAGATCGCTAGATAATCGCGATCTGGCTGATTTTTCGCCATTTCCCCTCATCAATTCCTCCATTCGACCAATTGCATGGCTGGAAGAGGCGAAGAGAAACCATCCGACAAAGATTTCGTCGGCGGCAGTCCAAAAACGAGTCGTTCGAAGTTCAAATCGCTGATTCTTCGAGAAAAGATAAGTTAATTCTGGGTTTCTTATCTTTTCTTTCAAGTATCTTCCCTGATTCCCCGTTCCCCCAACTCTATACTAACTCTTCTTGTACTGGTATATATAGGGGGGATTTAGCCGAGCTTCCAGACAGAGTCCAGTCATCGAGGGTAAGTTGCTTGATCTTGTCTATACTTTTTATGAATTTATGGGTTCGTGGTGTCAATACAGACATGCATGCAGTAAATTGCAGTTCTAAGTTCTAACTTGCTTTGTGTTCGTTGTAATTGTTCACTCTTGTTTGGGCTAGGTTGGTCTCGGTCGTTTGGAACTTTGGATCTGGTTTCGAGAACTGAAGTGGAACATAGTCAGTGATCACTTCAGTGAGCAGTGAGGGTCAGTCTACTGTCATTAGGTACTCGACAGTCCACATAAAACTCCAATCCGAGAAGGTAATCCCGTCCTCCTCTCCTAAGCCTCAACTGTGTTTGTCTGTTTGTTCATAATGCTGCGACTTGTTGTGACAATCAGTGGATTCATAATGCTAATAAGTAAAATTAATTAAACTGTAATCGTGATTTTGCTGCTAAAGATTTTTGTTTGCAAGTGTAGTCTTGTCATTGTGAATGTAACTAAGTTAATAAATAATAACTAAGGCTTAACTGCTTAAGTAGTAATACATAAATTTTTTATGTTTAGATGGAAGGTGCTCCTACTGCTATAAATGTTGACCTTGCTCCCAATGTCAATGTCCCTGAACAACCTGTCCAACCTGAACAACCTGTCCAACCTCAACCTGAACAACCTAGTAATGTTGAGGAGCTTGAAGCTCAACGTAAGTTAACCTCTGATGTTTGGCCTCACTTCAACCGAGTTAGGGTTAATGGGGTTATGAAGGCTAGGTGTAAGTACTGTCGTAAATCCCTTGGCGGGGAAACAAGTAATGGAACTTCACACCTAAGAAGCCATATCAAAACATTTATCCAAAAGAGGATACATGATGGTTCTCAAAAAATACTTGGCCCTAACTATAAACCTGCTAGAAATCCTCAACTCTCTGCTTCTCAATACAATTATGAGGTTTCTAGGAAGGAACTTTGTTCAATGATTCTGGTCCATAAGTACCCCCTTAGCCTTGTTGATCATGTGGGTTTCAAACGTTTTTGCTGTTCTCTTCAACCTCAATTCGCTGTTCCTAGTAGAAGCACTGTCAAAAAGGACATTTTGAGTTTGTTTTGTGTTGAAAGAGGTAAATATCAGACCATTATTGATGGTAATCTGGGGAGGGTTTCTGTTACAACTGATTTGTTGACTGCCAGAAATCAGAAAAGGGGTTATATGGCAGTAACTGGTCACTTCATTGATAACTCTTGGAAGTTGCATAACATAATGATGAGATTTATGTATGTTCCAGCCCCTCACACTAGTGAAAGGCTTGCTGATAGGTTATTTGATTGTCTTTTGGATTGGAACATTGATGGTAAGTTGTCCTCAATCACATTGGACAACTGTACCACCAATGATTCCATGATTTTCCACATGAGAAATAAGCTTCTGAGCAGTGACTTGTTGCTTGATGGTAAATTGGTTCATATGAGGTGTTCTGCTCATATTCTGAATTTGATTGTAAGGGATGGTTTGGATGCAATCAAGGATGCTATAAATTTGATTAGGGAGAGTGTAGTTTACTGGAATTCTACACCTAAGAGGGTTCAAACCTTCTTCGAAGTTGCTAAGCAACTTAAGCTGTCTGTTGAGAGAAAATTAGTCCTTGATTGTCCAACTAGGTGGAATTCCACCTATCATATGCTCTCTGTTGCTATTCCCTACAAGGATGTGTTCTTTCGTTTGAGTTTGAGAGACAATCATTACACATCAGTTCCTTCTAGTGAACAATGGGAATTTGCTTCTACTGTGATTGGGAAGCTGGAAATCTTTTCTGAGATTACTGAGTTGTTCTTTGGTTCCAAATATCCGACTGCCAATCTGTTTTTCCCCAAGATTTGTGATCTCAGACTTAAACTGAATGAGTGGGGTGTTGATCCCAATCCTGTGATTTTTGGAATGGCTAGTCAAATGTCACTGAAGTTTGATAAGTACTGGGATGATATCCATCTTGTGCTTGATGTATCGGTTGTTTTGGATCCTAGATATAAACTCCATGTGATTGAATACTATGCTGGAAAGTTTGGGAATACAGAAACTGATTTGGTTGCTGAGAATATCAAGCAAATGATATGTGGTTTGATTCGTGATTATCAAACCAAAGCTGAGAACAAATCTGGTTCTGAAACTGGAACTTCTTCTGGTTCTGGATCTGCCTCTGCCACTGAACTTGACTTTGAACTCTTTGTAAGTCAAAGGAAAAAGAGTAAGACTTCCTTGATTACAACTGAGTTGGATATGTATCTTGCTGAGGATATCATTCCTCGCACAGCAGAGTTTGATCTGCTCTTGTGGTGGAAATTGAATGGTTTGAAGTATCCGACTTTGCAATCAATTGCAAGGGACTTTCTGGAAATTCCTATTACTCCAGTGGCTTCTGAGAATGCATTTAGTTCTGGTGGGAGGTTGTTAGACCCTCACCGGAGCAGGCTGCATTATTCGACTGTGGAGGCAATGATGTGTACTAGGAGTTGGATAATGGAGGACATGCAACGAGGTAACATGCAACTAAAACTCTCAAGTTTATTGTTTTACGTTTTAACAATAGTATGAACTCATTCAACTGGTTCTATGCAGATTCGGAGGCTGCTGTGGAGGCATTGGATGGTCTCTTCTCAACAATGACGGTCGAAGATACAACTATGGAAGAGGCAGAACCTGGTGGTAAGATCAATAGATCATTTTTTAATTGTGTGTTCTAATTTCTATTAGTTCATTTAGGAATACTTACCTTTGCATTGTTTCGCTTTTTCAGATCCAGAACTCACCTTAATGAGATCACCATTTGCCCATGAAGACTGATTGGTAATCTGCTGTGGGACCAAGGTAAAGGTCTTCTTTATTTGTTGTCGTTGATGCAGACGTGTTATTCATTGGACATTTACTAACTGATTCATTCCTCTTGTATGTTCTTTACACAGTTTCAATTGATGTCTGCTAGTCAGCTGGTTTACATCGATTGGAATGAGGGTCAGGGGTGGTCGGGTGGATGATTGCAGATTGCTCAATGATTCGATGTTGCTGGAACCTAGATGGAATGTTGCTGCGTTGCGGTTGCTTGGAACACATTTCATTGTACAGTTTTTTCTTAAGAATTAGACATTTAGAATTTAGAGTCGGCTGATACTTTTTGGTTGTTTGATTCATTTGATCATTTCTATCACAAACACGAAACAAATGTTGTTTTTGGTTGTTGTTGCTGAGCTGCTGGCGTAGTGGCATCAATTGCAGCTTGGCAAGCTTTCTGTTTTTCATTTCAAGTCTTTTTGAGTCTTTGACAGATCAGTTATTAAGAATAAAGTGAGAAGCGTCCAGTTTTCCAGAATTTTTATGTCATTTTCAATTTTCTTTTCATGTTTTTAGCGGGTATAATGGACCCGCGGGCACCCGATTACCCATTGGGTTTTGAGATGGTTGTCCAACATGCCCTGAATGTCCGTTTGGGCCGGGGATGGGGATACCCGAGGCCCATGGTGGGTGGGCAACAGATCCAGGGTACCCGGCCCCGATCCGCCCCGTTGCCATCTCTATAAACGGGTTACCCTGATACCCTAGGTCATTGTTATAAGCTCGTTGCTTGATGCAAAAATTTCGCAAGGTTATTTAACTTTGACATAATAATTTTAATTATTTTTATTTTCTCAAATTTAATTTTGTTATCAAATCACATATTTTGAAAGATTTATGTAAGAAAAGTCTATAACAGTAACATAAATTACAAATTTACCAAATATTACTTTATATCACTTGATTTTATTATTAGATCACACATTATGAAAAATTTATGTTACAGCATTTTATAACAGTTACATAAATAACATTCTATAAAAATTAGATAAATTAAATATTCATTTGTAAAATTTATAGATACTAGACAAACTAAATTTCATAAAGGAATAACTATTATGTAAGATACATTATTATTCCTTAATGATCAACACACTATGTAAAGCTTATGAACATATTATCATTTTATATGTATTAGTTAAACAAAAATATTAGGTAAGTCTTCTATAATGATTAAACACAATATAAATCTTATGTAGAGATAGGTCTTTATTATATATCATTTAAGCAAATGGATGACATATGTTATTCACAATGATTAATACAATATGTGAAATTTATGTAAGTATCTTATCTAAATAATTTATTAAATAAATCATTAATTTCTTACCACGGTGGAAAGTTGTTCAAAAGATTGTACAATAATGCGTACATCTAATGTCATCATTCACATAATCAATATTTTCATAACATTAACCTATTAACTGGGGATAAAGTTAACTAGTCGTTTACTACTTTACTTCATCGCTAGCCACAAATTTCCTTTGATTCTATTTGGGTTAATCAGCCAATGCCATGTTAGTATTACGGAAAACTTAAATGAAACAACAAACACTACCAGGAATAGGTTACAATCTTCTGGCAACAGAATGCTTTTTTAATATAAGAAGACGGTTGATCATGAGTGACTAGAAATTGTAAAGAAAGAAGAGGGAAGAAATCACAAACCAAAGAAGATAAACAATTTCTCTCGACACATAACAATCACAATGAAGCGTCGACTTTCCTAAATCTACACTTCACCAACACCTACACACAAACGGCACTCGGCAGCCTGATAGCAGGGCGAAGAAAAATCAATGTACGTTAACTGTTTAAAAGAATCAGCGATCAAGGAGTCTGGACATTGGATTTGTTCTCTTCAGACGAAGGTCGGTTCTCTGAGTCGGATTGCCGGATTTCCTCGATCATCCTCACCACTTCCTCCATGCTCGGTCTCATGTCTGCCACTTTAGCGACACAGGCCATCCCAATCTGTAGCATCTGCACCATTTCCTCTTCGATGTTTTGGTACCTCATCAGCTCCACGTCGAATACCTCTGCTGTCCATTCCTCCCTCACCACCGATTGCACCCACCTTGGTAGATCCACCATGTCATCCCGTCCAGGGGACTGCATGGGAGCTTTCCCCGTCAGCATCTCTAATATCAGTACCCCAAAGCTGTACACGTCGGATTTGTGGCTGTGCTTACGTGTCTCAATCGCCTCTGGAGCACGGTACCCCACACTTCTTGATGGAGTCATGGGCACATTCATCAATGGTGCCAGCCCGAAATCACAAATGCTGCCTTCGTTCTCTGCAATCATCAGCACGTTCGAAGACTTTATATTCCCATGACTGAACTTTGTACCCCCCACAGAGTGCAGGTGAGCAACTCCCTTCGCAATTCCAAGTGCTATCTTTATTCTGCTCTCCCAATCTAATGGCGATCTCCCCACTCCCCTACTACCTGTTGTCAAACAAATGCTATGATCAGAACAACAGAAAACAAAGAGTCAGAAAAGAAAACGTTTCTACTGCAACCTCCTACGAATTATGATCAAGATACATACCGTGCAACAGCACATTCAAGCTGCCAGCCGAGATATAGTCATAAACAAGAAGCTTCTCATCCTTTGAGTAGTAATAAGCGCGTAGTGGAACAACGTTAGGGTGCTGACCAACTCTCCCTACAATCTCCATCTGCTGCTCGAACTCTCTCTTGCCCACCACCACTTCTTTCAATCTCTTCACTACCACTGTTGTTGATTCTTCCAATACGGCCTTATATGCAGTGCCATAACTACCCTTTCCCAGCACTTCAGCTGAAGCCCTCAGCAAGTCCTCAAGATCAAAATTGTAGGAGCAACCTTCGAAGAACACCAACTTATTTTTTTCAGGTTCTTGCACCCCACTCCCGAATTCCTCTTTCGGCTTCTCGCCCCTGCCACCACTGACTGCCTTCCCCTTCAACACACTACTGCCTCCACCATTGTCTTTTTTCTTCAAACAACAGCATATAACAATCAAAGCAAAAATGAATAACAAAGCAAATCCTCCTACAGCAATGGCAATGATAATCCCTTTAGACAGTTTCAGTTTTGAACGTTTCTTGTGTGGGCCTGCTGCTGGTGGAGGAAAGGAGGATGCAGGAGCTGGGGATGGCTGAGGGTTAGCACAGGGATTGAGAGGTAACCCACACAACAGAGGGTTTCCGGCAAAGGATGAATCGGGGAAACTTCGAAGATATGAAGGAATTGAACCATTCAAATGGTTGTAACTCAAATTCAAATGTGTGAGGCGATTAAGATCTGGTATGGGTCCATTGAGCGTGTTGTTTTGAAGGTTTAAGCTAGTGAGTTGTGACAAATTTGACAACGTTTGAGGAATGTTGCCTGTGAAATTGTTAAAAGAGAGATCTAATACATTGAGCTGTGCGGAAAAAGAGGTAGGGATATTTCCAGTTAAGTTATTGTGTTGCAGGTATAGGGAGTGAAGTGAGGGAAGAGAGGTAACATCTGTAGGAAGATTCCCAATAAGGACATTGGAGCGAAGGCTGAGGACTCTCAGGGCATCAAGTTTACCAAGAGAATTGGGAGGTATAGGGCCCATAAGTCCAACTCCAGGGAGTCGGAGAGCAACCACACGAGAGCCATCCAAGTTGCATGTGACACCCACCCAAGAGTCGCATATTGAAGAAGCAGGATTCCAGTTGAGGAAACGATAATGTGGCACAGTAGCAGCAAAGCTAAGAAGAGCTTGCCTGTCTGAATTGAGGTCTGCAACCGCTAGGGAATGCAAGGTGACGACAAGGAAGAAGCCCAGGGGCAAAACCCTGCTGAGCTTCATGGAGGAATCAACTGGCTGTGTGTTGGTCAAATGTAATGCCCTGCAAACCACAACAACGTTAGCAACAAGTAATGTGGATGTCTATTGTCCTAAACGCCTACATTGTAACAAAACCAACCAAGAGTTGCCACTTGCAGATAGTAAAGAGCAAGAAATTTCATCAATACCAAACTCTAGAAAACTCTCAAGTAACCAGAATTTGGATCTTTAGCAGGCTGCTGTTCTAAACTTTGAATCTGAAAGAGGTTCTTGACCAAAAACACGTTAAAAGACAGTGATGCTTATGGTTGAAGAGCAGAAGTTGCAGAGGGCAAGTATGGTTCAACGAGGTGGAATTCTAGATCTAGTGGGCAACTGACTAGGTCGTTCATTCTCAGCAAGCTGCCCACATCCAGCCCTTACTGGCTATATTCTCCAACGTTAACTGTGGTTGTCTTATTTTCACCTTTGTTCTTTTCGTAATAAAAGAGTAAACAAAAAGACAAGGACATGTTGAGATGAGTACCCCCGTCTTCCTCTTTCTCCAACAGTGGGTTCAACTATTAACATTACCAAAATCAATTCAGAATCTTCTCCATTGCTTTACTCACCACTCACTCCAGCTTAATTGACTAGAAAAAGTCAAGCTCACTCATTTTTCAAGAGCATTCTAATATCCAACATCAAACAAAAGCACGACTAGTGAAGGTAATCATCAGCAGGAAACCAAGATGTGGGGAAAAAGGGAAAGTTTCATGATAAGGAATATATAAAGCGAGCAAAAGAGCGTTGCTTTCATGTTTATCTACTCTAATCATATATCTTAATTGTGGACTGCTCATTTGAATTGTTCAAGTATGGATTGACTTTAGTCAATTAATAAACAACACAAAAACGGTGGACAATAAGTATCTAAAAGAAATTGCCTTTACTCATCCAAGACCAACAACCAATGACTTCATAAGGGGGTGAAGAATCCTAAGCAAAAGGGAAGTAATCAAGTAGATACTTGGGTCTATGCTGGCAAATTCCAACCAAAAATCGATCGAGAAGGAAATAAGAAGAAGAAGAAGAAGAAGAAGAAGAAGAAGAAGAAGAAGAAGAAGAAGAGCTAGTTCACTTAAGAACCCATCTCCGTTTTGTGGAAAGGCAACATGGTGGTCATGGGAAGCGGTAAAGAAGCTCTAGTACTGAAGTAAAAAAATAGAAACCCAGTTGACATCCGTCAAGAATCGCAAGACTAAAGAAGACCAACAGCCTACGGCTTGAAAGGAGCAAATTGCAGAGAACATGCAAGTTCATTATACTGGAAAATGAGACAGATCTTGAAATTTGGTGGAGGTAGGAGTCAGTTGGCAAAGAATGAACGAAGTGATAGCAATTAGCAAGCAAGAAATTAAGAAAGCGACGAAGAAACGAAAGCGCAATTAACTACACAGAGTAAATGAAGCAGAAGAGAATGCATATTAAGGAAGTAAATGTGGTTCAGGAGGGGCGAGGGTTGAACCTCGGAGGAAAGTAAGACGCAATTAGCGGAAGCAGATGGGCGCGGCACTAGCATTTAGCCATTAGCATAGCTGGGTTGAGCTCGGAGGCGTGTGGAAAGCGGAATCCGAGGCGAGATCGAGACCTTCTTGAGGCAGAAGGAAGAAAGCAGCTACAAGAAGAAAGAAGAGAGGGGGGTAGTGAGGTTCGGCACTTGGGAGTTGTTGAGTGAGAGAGTGAGGTTGGGAATTTTCAATTTTGTTCAGATGGGATAACGACGTACGAAGCGGAGCAGTACAGCGCCAAATTTTGGAAACAAAAAAAGACCAAATGAATAAAACATTTTCATTTTACATAACAGCTCACCGAAAAGTGCTTTACAGTTCAATTCAATTCAACCCCCTCATTATTATTAATTTTCAAATCTCTTTCATGAGTGAATCAATTAATTTGATACTGGGTGGGTTTTTTTTTTTATTAATATAACATTCGATCACTTCCAAGGTTGTCAACCCGTTTTGACCCTAACCGATGAGAAAAACGGGCCGCACGCACCCGCCGGGACGATCGCTACAAGATATTGGGTTGGAGGTCAATTATGTCATTTTTTTCTTTGGTTTGCGAAATGCGTTTTTTTCCGATTTTTTCCGCCTAACTCAATCTTTGTGATCCTAAATTGAACATTTGAATATTTATGTTATATAAGTGTGTGAATTTTACTATATGTTGGATCTAAGTACGATATATTATTTTGGTGTAATATTATATGTTATTGTTGAGCTATGATATATTGTATGGGCTTCAGCCCATTGTATTATGTATGTCAGTAGTTGTAGGCCTAGTCTAGGAAACCCTTGTCTGGCTGATCCTCCACTATCTTGGCTAGGTTTAGGAGTTATATATAATGTATCTCGAACCTGCATTGGAAGCTAAATTAATACGAGTATTGATAGCTTCGGCCGTGGACTAGTCTTGATCACACTGATCAAGGAAACCACGTAAATACTTGTGTGTTCTCCATTTCTTGTTGTGAGCATTCTCCGTTTTGATTCTATTCTGCTAAGATAAGTTAACATGGTATCAGAGGTCACCAGTTTGGATTCCGATTGGATTTCTACTCGTCTAAACTCCCAGAACTATTCCCTATAGGAATTTCAGGTTTGTGTACTTATTGAAGGGAAGGGGTTGATCGGCTTGCTTGATGGAACTTCAACCAAGCCCACGATTCCACCGTCGACTGAAGCAAATGTCTAGAAGCGGCTTCAGAATGATGCCCGGGTTCGTTTCTTGATCATGAACTCTGTCGATCCCTCCATAATTTTGGGTCTTTGTCTTTTGCCGACTTCTGCCAATATGTGGAAATTGTTGGCCACGACGTACTCCGCTCCAAGCGCCAATCTCCAATTTGAGCTTGAAGTCGAGCTCGAAAATCTGCAACAGGGAGAGCTCGACGTCGCCTCTTACTTCAACGCGGCGCGTCTTCTTTGGACTGAGTTGGACCTGCTCACTTCGTCGCTTCTTACCTAGCCCATTCCCGTCGAGATTCAAGCTGAGAAGACTAAAATCCGACTGCTGCAATTTCTGATGAAACTACGACCAGAATTCGAATCCCTACGCGCTACCCTTCTAAATCAGGACTCTCTCCAGCTGGAAGGGATTCTCGCCAATCTGATAAGGGAAGAGACACGATTACGCACTCAGGCCGCAATCGATGCTCACCCTGGCCGTGCCGATGCTGCTTCTTTCAGCGTCTTTGGCACTGCACCTAGTGGAAGCTCGCTGCCGTCCCGCGCTGCGTCCGGTGGAGCTGCTCCTGGCACCTTTCGTTCCCCAGCTGCGATTGTTGCTCCTCACCCAGGAGCTGTGCACTCTCCTCCCGCAGCTAACAACGAGTTCCACGACGCAGCGTTTGCTGCTTATCAGTCCAGCCCACCACGTCGGAGGTGGAATGCCACCATTGCCACGACAAGGGGTCATACAGAGAAGTTCTGCCGTAAGCGAAATTTATGTGTTTACTGCAAGAAATGTGGTCATATAATATCGGATTGTGAATTGCTACCGGAAAGGATGGGTGAGGTGGACAACTCAAGTTCTGGAGCTGGATGTGTTGGTCGGTATGATAATTCTCGAGGAAGGCCTCGCCCTGCATATGCTGCGACACCAGCCACTCATACGGATGGGGTTTTGGTCACTCCCGCTGCCCTCGAGAGCATGGTGAATAAGGATATTTCTTCTGGATTTGCCAGTCTCCAGGCCACATGTAAATTCCCGAAATGGATTATCGATTCTGCCTGTTTTAATCATATGACAGGTGATCGTTCTATTATTCGGAAGGTACAACCGATTAATAATCTTTCTTTGCAAGTCGTTAATGGTGAAAAGCTTACGATTTCTGGTATTGGTTCTATTAAAGATGATCGCATTGAGCTACCTGATACTTTTCATGTCCCGACTTTGGTACCTAATTTGGTTTCTGTGGGTCAGCTTACTGAACAAGGTTGTCGGTTTATCTTTTCTCTTCTGGTTGTGTTGTACAGGACATGAAGACGGGGAGGGAGCTCGGGAAGGATAGAAAGCAAGGTCGGATCTTCATGATGGATGAGCTCATCACACCATCCTCTTGTTCTTCGTCGGATTCTATTTCGGTGTCTAGGGTATTATCTTTTCCTGCTTTCTCGAGTCTTAGTGATCAAAAGTTTCAGTTGTGGCATGCTCGATTGGGATATCCCAATTCCGGTAGACTTGTAACCATGTTTCGTCAATAGTTATTAGGCCCAAACACTAAATTTTATCGATTATCGGATTTTGCTTGTCAAAATTGTATTGAAGCCAAAACTACTCAGATTTCTTTTCGCTCGAGTACTACTGTCATTATCGAACCCTTTCATCTCATCCATACAGATCTCTAGGGGCCTAGTCTGGTTACGTCTAGACAGGGTTATAAGTATTTTGCTTTATTCATTGATCATGCCACCCCGTTTACATGGGTATTTTTTTGTGTCTTAAATCCGATCTTTTGCCCATTGTCACTGAATTTTTGTAGATGATTAAGACTCAATTTGGTAGGACTGTTCGTGTCGTTCGGTCTGATCCTGGTGGTGAGTTTAGCTCAACACCCTTGCTCAGTCTATATGCCTCTTTAGGGATCCTTACTCATAAGTCTTGTCCTGGTGTCTCTCAACAAAACGGTCTTGTGGAACGTAAAAATAGACATGTTCTTGAAGTTACACGTGCTCTTCTTTTATCCTCCCACATACCGTCCTTTTTCTGGCGTGAAACGGTTCCTACAGCTGTTCGCTTAATGAACTATTAGATTACCCCTGTCCTGGGTCAGTCTAGTTCTTATTTTCAGCTATTTGGTAAGCATCCTCCCTATTCCCGCCTTTGTGTCTTTGGTTGCTTGTGTTTTGTACTGCTTCCTTGTTCGGAGCGTACTAAACTGTCTTTTAAAACTGCTCGTTGTGTCTTTCTGGGTTATAGTGATATCTATAAGGGTTATCTATGTTATGATCCTTATCTTTGTCGTATCCATATAGCCTGTAACGTCACGTTTTTTGAAAATCTCATGTTCTATTCTTCGTCCTCCACTACCACTCCTCTATTTGATACGACGTTGGGACCACCTTCTTTCGCCGATGATGATAATGGTGATGATGCTCTCCTTGATCTTAACCAGCCCCCACCTCCCTCCGCGCCGCCTTCGCCTCCGCCATCACCGCCACCTCCGCCTCCGCCTCCTGTTCGGCGATCTCTCTGTTCCACCTTTGGGGTACCTTCTCCTCGTCATAGTGATTATGTTTCTTATGGTGTTGATGCTCTGGCAGTTCCTGATCGACCGAACTGGGATCATTCTACGAGTGAGGAGATTGGGGCTCTTATTGAAAAGCAGACATGGGTTGTGGTTTCCCGTCCTCCTGATCGGCCGGTTATAGGGTCTCGATGGGTGTATGCTCTCAAATTTCTTCACGATGGTTCTTTGGAGCGGCATAAGGCTTGTGTTGTTGCTTAGGGGTTAAGCCAGGAGTTTGGGGTGGACTTTGATGAGACGCTTGCCCCGGTGGCCAAGATGGTTTCAGTTCAGACTCTTTTGGCTGTCGCTGCTCTCTGTAATTGGCCTTTGTATCAGTTGGATGTCAAGAACGCCTTTCTGCATGACGACCTGAAAGAGACTGTCTATGTGGAGCTTCCTCCCGGTTACTCTCCTCCGACTGACATTCCAGATCCTGTCTGTCTTCTTCATCGTTCTCTGTATGATATCAAGTAGGCTCCGAGGGCGTGGTTTGATAAGTTTCAATCTACTGTTATGGATCTTGGATTTCAGTAGAGCCAGAACGATCCTTCCTTGTTTACCCGTCGCTCTACGGGTGGTATTGTTATTTTTCTTCTCTATGTCGATGATATGGTGGTCACTGGGGATGATGAGGTCGGGATTAAGGCTCTTACTCAGGGTCTCCATGAGCCTTTTACGTTGAAGGAGCTTGGTTCTCTCTCTTATTTCCTAGGTTTAGAGGTTCAGCGTTCACCCGAGGGTATTCTTCTCAGTCAGAAGAAGTACATCACTGATCTTCTCGATTCGACAAAATTCTCGGATTATATTCCAGTATCCACTCCTATGGAGCTCAATGTCAAGTTGGGGAGGAAATAGGTGATCTATTGCCTGATGGTGGTAAGCAGTATCAGAGCATTGTTGGGAGTCTTATCTACCTTACGTCGACCCGTCCTGATATTGCCTATGCAGTCCAGATAGTAGCCCAGTTTATGTCAGCTTCTCGGACAGATCATCTAGCTGTAGTACTCCGATATCTTCAGTGTACTTGCGGGGTTGGTTTATTCCTTCCTGCGAAGGGTTCGTTAACTCTTCAAGCTTTCTCTGACAGCGATTATGCAGGTTTTGTGGATACTCGTCGTTCCACAACAGGTTGGTGTGTTTGTCTTGGTGGCTCTTTCATCTCTTGGAGGTGCAAGAAGCAGGATCAGGTCTCTAAGTCCTCCACTGAAACTGAATACAAAGCTATGTTTGATGTGGTGTCTGAGCTGGAATGGCTTCGGCGGTTACTTGGTGATCTTGGGGTGACTTGTGAGATTCCTATGGAGCTTTATGTTGATAACACCAGTGCTATCAGGATTGCTACAAATCCTGTTATGCACGATCGTAGAAAGCATATAGAGGTTCATGTGCACTATATTCGTGATATGGTTCGAGACAACATTGTTCGTATCTTTCATGTTAAATCGGAGGATCAGATTGCAGATTTCTATCTCGCTGTCAAATTGATGATGAGAGACCTCCATCAATTTGGGGGAGACTGTTGAGCTATGATATATTGTATGGGCTTCAGCCCATTGTATTATGTACGTCAGTAGTTGTAGGCCTAGTCTAGGAAACCCTTCTTTGGCCGATCCTCCACTATCTCGACTAGGGTTAGGAGTTATATATAATGCATCTTGAACCTGCATTGGAAGCTAAGTTAATACGAGTATTGATAGCTTCGACCGTGGACTAGTCTTGATCACACTGATCAAGGAAACCACGCAAATACCTGTGTATTCTCCGTTTCTTGTTGTGAGCATTCTCCGTTTTGGTTCTATTCCGCTAAGATAATTTAACAGTTATAACTCATTTGTTAGATAAGATTTGATATAATTTATAAGGATAAGTACAATATAATGACTTTT